CCTCCTCCTCTCTCTCTCTCTCTCTCTCTCTCTCTCTCTTTCTGTTCATTCTTGGTTGAATGGAGGGTTGTACATAAGCTCGCATATGTAACGATACGTCGTTAATAGAACGCGGGAGATATCAGATGGGGGGAGAGAGGGCAGCCATGTTAACTACTCGAGCAACCGGCTAGCATGGAAATCACGTTGGCGTCGAGATCGGAAATAATTAGTTCCTCGAGACGACCGGTTCGTGAACAGCTTCGAACTAATAACCCTTTTACAGAGGAACGGTAGTAGTCGGTGGTGGTGGTGTTGGTGGTCGTGTAACGCGAGAGATGAACGTTCTCTTTATTTCTTCTTTCTCTCTCTCTCTCTCTCTTCTTTCTTCCTTTCCTTTTTTCCTCTCCCTCTCTCTTCTTTTTTGTCTCGCGAATTTTCAAGCATCGAGAGTTAATTGAAGTGGTTTAAGTATTGATGGATATATATCGCGTTGGGGATGGTTGGCTCCAACGTTGATATAGAATAGAGACCCGGGTGTATTTCGAGAGAGGTAAAAGTTGCGTGGTAGAAACTCTGGAGCGCTGTTGGAATTAAAAATTTACTTTGGGCAAGAATTTCGTATTACCGCTGGCAACCGCCAAAACGTGTATACGAAATTCATCGAGATAAGTGTAGTTTTCGAGGTTTTAAAATGCTACGCGTTGCGTGCAAGTGCAATTTAAATCGGCGGTACGAACCGAAGCTGGAGAAGGAAAATTTTTGTTGTAAATGTGTAATGAAAAAAAAAAAAAGAAAAAAAGAATATCATTGCGAATTCACGAAGAAATAATCGCAACGAATTATTCTATTAATCTTCCTACGAAAATATTCGAACCTTGTGAAACTTAAACGTTCAATCATTGAATCATGGATTCAACACGTGTTAAACTCGACAATGACCTACCCTTCTTCCGATTTTATTACCCGACAATTTACAACGACGTTATCTCTTGTCTATATATTTTATTATCTCCTGGAGCGCGATAACACGGCGCACAAACACGAATATCGTTTCGAGCGAGAACAAGAGAGAACATTGTACAGTTGTTCGGCTCCAGCGAAATTCCGATGATTCCGTGGGAGGATGCAGTTCGAACTCGCCTGTTTTGCGCCACTTCATTACGATATTTGATCATGCAGACGCAAACATATCGGATGAATCGGCAAATTCCGGAGGATCGGTTCCTCCTCCGGAGTTGTGGAGATTTTGTATCCGATGATAACGATGACTAACGTTTCATCCACACCACTCTGTCGTCTCTGCTAACGTTTCGTTAGAGGAGAGCTCGTCGATAACCGAACATATCCAGATATGTCGAGAGTCGGGACAATACACCGGTTGATTAAAAAAGAATGGCGGAGAGCCGTTGTTTCGAGGTGAATAATACCGCTATGAAACGACAGTTTCATCAAACTGGATCCTTACCGAATCCATCGCCATTTTCGTCCAGGGAGCCAAGTTAAATTAGATCGGAGAATTCTCGAATTCAATTAAGAAACGACAACAAAACTTCGGTGGTTGAGGATTCCACGTGGAGGAATACCGGGGAAATAAGATGGATACCTTTTTTTCTTCCTCGTTCGAATCTCCCGCAGCAATGGAATGGAAGCCCACGTGGAGGGGAGATAGATAAGAGAGAGATAAGACGCGTTGATATAACGGAATATAATTTGAAATGGTGAGCGAGCATTTTTTCTTGTTCTTGAAATTTCGAGTAAAGTTCAAATTATCTGTCACACGATGAATTATATCTATTCCTCGTTGAGGAAAAGATCGAGAAGACTGGACTCCCAACGAGAGATTCGTTCGAAACGGTGTCCCGCTATTCTCCTTAATTTTATTCACGGGCGAATTATTCGTCAATGGTCAACTCGAAGCGAATTTCGGCGAGCGAGCCGGTCTCGTCAAACAAGGGGAGGTGGGCAAGTTGCTGAAGGGCGACGTTTGACAATAGCCCGCGGCCACGAACGGGCACCATTGACGATCGTATGTACGAACCATAACCAACAGGGGATGGACACTCGGGATAAATACGAGTAACACGGTTAGCCGAGCTAAGTGGAGATACAAGGAGAGATACAAGGGGGATAGCACGCTTATGAAACGAAGTAACATGGCATCAAGTCCACCCTTGCCTCGCTTCGAACCCTCCCTTTCATCGATCATTCCCCGTATTATCTTGCGAGGGAGATGCCTGTACGAGTTTGTGCGCGCATGTGTGTGTGTGTGTGTACGCGTGACAAGTGGAGGAGAGCCCTCTCGAGAAACCTCGGAGAAGAAGCTTTCGCCGCGTTTATCGAAACCTCGGCCGTGTTGACTCGAGACTTTGCGCGATTGATCCTCGAGAACTTTGCTTTCGTTCTATGTTGCGAGGGAAATGATGATTGCGGATCCGTTGACAAGAAGAGGATGATGACCGAGGAGGAGAAGGCGACTCTTTTTTAGGGAAAAATTGACACACGAATGCGAGAAAAACGGGTTTTCCTGCTCCACGTTTGCGTAGAGAGGAAGATATAATTGAAATAAAATAAATGTACTCGTATTTATGACTCATAAATGTGGATGGAACGTGTTGGGGTAAAATTTCAAAAATTTTCATTTAATACACACGAGATTTTGTTTGTAACAAGAATCGAAATTATTTGTATTGGATATGGTATATATTTGGAATGTTGGAAAAATTTGTAAAAAGGTTGTATTACTTTGTTTCATTCACGCAAATGTAATGAACGTATCGGATCAACATATTCACGCGGTCTGAAGGCGAAATCGCATAAAACTGGCTTGGCACGAAACGTGTTAATAATTAACAATGCTACATTTCACATACGCGACATTGAGCACAGGGAAAGGATTAATCGAATTACACTGCAACTGACCACGTTCAATCAAGATTCAATTTTCTACGTTATTTATACTAATATTAATCGTTTCAACGATAAATGCTGATATAATAACCAATAAAATTCAAACTTACGATCGATTACCCAATTCTAAGTAAAATCCATTAGGAAAAATTTATTTCAAAGAATTATTCCTACGACGTAATACGAATCTGTAGAATCGTATTTCATATACGCAACATTGAGCACGAATTACACCGAAACCAACGATCAAGATTTTTTTTTCCTATTTTATACATTAATTCAAAACTTAACAAATTAGTTTTAACTTGCGTTACGAAGAATCAATGGATATGAAAGTTTTTTCGATACTTTGAAACCTACGATCAATAAACCGACATACGAATTTATGGAATCATATTTCGCGCACGCAACATTGAACACGAATTAATTGAGCCGAAACTAACGACTTGATTTAATTTTCATTCGAGATTTACTTTATACTTTAATTCAAAACTTAACAAATTACTTGATTTTCAAAGGATGTGAAAGTTGTTTCAATAAACGAAGACAACTTATCTCAAAAGTTGTATAAAACCTACGATCGAAAAAACTGATATACGAATTTATGGAATCACATTTCGTACACGCAACATTGAGCGAACGAACTACTAATTCAAAAATTAACGAATTAGTTTTAATTTTCGTTACGAAGAATGCAATGATGGATTTTCAAAGGATGCGAAAGTTGTCTCGATAAATGAAGAATCATATTTCGTACACGCAACATCGAATTGCACCGAACTAACTGCTTCATCAAGACTTAATCTTATGCATTAATTCAAAACTTAGTACAAATTAGTACTCGTGTCACGAAGAATGGAAAGGTGGATTTTCAAAGGATGCGAAAGTTGTCTCGATAAATGAAGAATCATATTTCGCAACATCGAATTGCACCGAAACTAACTGCTTGATCAAGACTTAATCTCCTACCTTATGCATTCATAATTCAAAATTTAAGAAATTAGTACTCGCGTTAGGAAGAATGGAAAGGTGGATTTTCAAAGGATGTGGAAAGTTCTTTCGAATAAATAACGAAACTTATTTCAAAGGATTATTCATACACGGGTGGCGTACGAATAAAATGAATCTTTAATAATAATCCACCGCCGCTAACGAGAAGGGTAAGGAACGAACCTTTTCACGGCGGGTTGTCACCCCGAGGCGCCGCTTCGACCCAAATGCGATGCGGCCGAGGCTCGACGTGGCCGTCCATTCTCCCTCTGCTTATCATCAGGGGGCGAGAGACATCAAAAGGGCCTCCGTAGCGCGAATCCCGCTCTTGATACGGCTTGGAAACACCGAGGCCAGGTATTAACGAGTCCCCTCGCCGGCTACAAAAAGTCGGATGCGACCTCGCTTCCGGCCCTTTCAGGGGACCGTCGTCGTCCCCTCCTCCTCTCTCCTCTCCTCGAATCGCCGGCTCCCTTTCACCGGACACCATTGCGACTCCTCTTTCTCCAAGAGAAGGAGAACGTCTCGACCACGGCCAACTCCTGAGTGGCGTTTCGTGTCCGCCACCGCTGCGGATTCGACCCGATCCCAATTTTGATTTTCACCAAGTTCAGGTGTCGGTCGATTATTCCGCCCGGTGAACCTCCACCGCGTGTCTCTTCCACTTTAGGGGGACAAGTTTGACGGCTACTGTTCTAAATTTTCAAGCTTCCCCTTATCTTCTTCTATTTATTACCAGAATTACAGAATTTTGGATGTCAAATTGTACTAATACAATAATAAGAATAGTATTGCAGAAGGGTTCGTTTTTTGTGGAAAGATGAAAACAGAAGGAAAGTCTTGACACGATGCTTTGCCGATTATTCGAATCGATCCGAAGTTCCAGAAGTTGTAAAGATTTTTCATCCCCAACTTTGCTCCCCTTGCCAACGAGAATTACGATAATTCGCGCGTGAAACAAACGTGTATACAACAGTTTCGTGTCTCGCAACACGTCGCGAACACGAGCCGCCCACCCTCCCCTCTCTCTTTCCCTGCCCCTCCTCCAGAAAGACGTTTTGAATTTAATATTTCCGGGACAACCCTCCGGATTTCTGGCACACGTCGCGCCGCGACATTATTTCAAATTTTGCATCCGGTTTAATTCTCCTGGTAATCTTAGGATTTCTCCCCGTTTAATACCGCGTGAGAGTAATTCCTGACCCCCTCCCTCCTCTGATATTTCCTTGGTTGGACAGGTTCCTTGTCACTCTCCTCTATATATATATATATATACGTTCCTTGTCTCGATTATCGGGGAAGAAAATTTCGGCCAAAGGTAATAAACGAGAAAGAATTGTAACGCCCAATAATAAATGAATACGAAACAATGTTGATGGATACGATGGAAATGCGGGTGAACAGGGTGAACTATCGAAGCAAATTTTGTTGAAAGGCATCGTTGTAGGTGGTCGAAACGAATCGGAATCACGGCAATTAGTCGGCGAAATATAAGCTGATTGAGGGGAGGGGGAGGATGGGGTAATTATAAGCGCAAATTATATTGTTCAGAAACGCAAAATAATAATGGCACTTTAACGAGTTGACTGATAAACCGATGATCATTGAGCTGATATTTAGATGGTAATTATTAATTACTTTGGTTACCGGTTAAAATAACGAAAATCACGATTGGGATTTATGAACATCGTATAATTATTACGTGATTTTCGTGTAATTATTAGTTGGCGCGATAGTAATTGCTCTCATTTGCTCGTTTAAACTTGTAAGTTTA